TGCGTTGGGGCCGCCTCCCGAGTGGAGCGGGTCGTGCACCGAGCCCCACCGTCATCGTACTCCTCCGACTTCCTCTCGCTCCCGCTCGACCTCTTCTTGCCCGTACCGGCGGCGGCTAGGGCGGCGGCGGCACCTCCTACGGTAGACGACGGAGCCGCCACCACCGCCTCGCCACCCCCTAGTTCTCCTTGCGGGGCCCTCATCCGTTCCTTGCTGTTGCGGCGCACCTGCAGCTGGTGCGACACGAACAGCTCCGCCATCGAGTCCAGCGGGCGGACCCCGCCGCCGCCTCCACCGATCGCCGAGGCCGCTGCCGGCGGCGGCGGCGACTTCCCGCCGGCCTTGTCACCCCCGCGGTCGCCCGCCTCCGCCCCCGTCACCGTAACGCCGCCGCCGCCGCCGCTGCTGCTCGAGGAAGTTCTGGAGGAAGAGCCGCCGACGCCGGGGTTGTCGCCCTCGCCAGTCCCCGCCGGGGGCGCCGCCAGCCCGTACGCCACGTACGGCAGTATCGCGGGATCGATGGCGCCGCCACCGACGTCGTTCGCCCTGCTGCCGCCGCCGGCATATGCGGCGGTGGCGGCGGCGGCCGCCTTCTCGCGGGCGCGGGCGTTTGCCTGGCGCTGCTCCCCTCGGCGCTCCGCGCTGTCGCTCGTGGCCGCGGCGTCCCCGCCCTGGATGCGAAGGGTTGTGTGCAGAGGCGCGCACGAAAACAAATACATAGTTCCATCAGGAAAAAATAGAAAAACAGGCCGCAAGTGTTTGCGGGCTCGTTGTTCGTCGCGTTCGGGCACCAAGGTGGAGGACTACTGTACCGTCGCGTATACACGGCACACGCAACGACGGCGGGACCCCTCAACCAGTACGAACGAGCCCGCCGCATGGGGCCGAGGGCAGCGCCGGCTTGCGGTTGAATACTACTCCCTCCTGCCGCGACGAACAGACAACACCGCAGGGGAGGACGTATTTGCGCTAATACAATATCGCCCGGAAAATACAACCACGCTTCTCCATCCTCCGGGCAACCCCGACGAAGCAAGGCCCGTCGCTCACCGCCATCATTATCCTTCTGCGCTCCAGATCCCCGCCGCACCTTCCCCCGCCCCACTCCTCCGTCTCGTCCTCCTCGTTCTCCTCGTCGCTCGCCGAGTAGCAGCCGTCGCTGTCCTCGTCGGCGCCAGGCCCTCCGGACAGCCGGCGGTCGACGATGAGGTCTAACGACGTGTCGGACGTCACCTCGTAGGTGTCCGACGACGCGGCGAAGACGGAGTCCTCGTCTGAGGAGAGGACGGCCAGGTCGCTCTCGTCCAAAGCCTTGGCCGCGTGGAAGACCCTCAGCTGCTTCCCTCCTCCTCTCTCACCCGCGGCCCTCGCGCCGCCGCCGACGTCCCCGGGCGACGTAGTGGCAGCTCCGCTCACACCGCGACCACCACCCACCCCATCACCGCCGAATTCTGGCAACGGCACCACCGGACCGCCGCCCGCAGCCGCCGCCGCCTGCCCGGTGACCCCCAACCCCCGGCCTGCTACGGCGGTGGCCATGCCTACGCGTGCACCGCGGTCCCCTCCGCTGGCTTCGGTGTCTCCGCTCGAAGGGGGCCCCGCCGCCACCGCCTTCCCCGCACCTCCCCCGTTGGTGGGGGCAGTGGTAAAGCCACCGTCCCCCCTCCGCGAAGCCGCGGTGTTCAACCAGCGCTGCCGCCGTCTCTTGTCCACCCTGTCCCCACCGCCGCCGATCGAAGAATTCACCCAGTCACCGTCTCTGGCAACCAGCTGCCGCCCGGGCGGAGGGCTGGAGTGCTGGCGGCCGCCACGCCCAGACCGTCCGCTGCCGCCACTGAGCGCCCCGGCCGTGCCCCCGACGCCGTCGATATCAGCGAGCTTCCTCGTGGCTAGCGCGTCGGACAGCGGGGTCGGCGGCGGCGGTGGGAGGCGAACCAAGGGTACCTTCTCCAGGCCGCTGGCCTCGGATCCCCCCCCGAGCCGCCCTTCTTCGACGACGCTTCCATCCTCGCCCGCTATGATCTCCGGAGAACAGGCCAAGCCGGCGGCGGCGGTGGCGGCGGCGGCGGCGGCGGCGCCATCGAAATCCTTCGTCGGAGCAAGCAATGCTCGGCCGAGCCCCGTAGGGGGGGAGGACCCCGTTCCATCTCTCGTGCCCCCGCCGCCGCTCGCGCCCACGGCCGCTCTGTTGTGGTCGCCGGGGAGCGACCCGAAGAAGGGCGGGCCGCTGTCGTAGTCGCTCGCGGAGCTGCTCAGTGACCCGTCGGAATTGAAGGGCGCACTGGCACTCATTGAGAGTTTCGCCGCTGAAAGGTACCAAGGCGGGAGGAGGGGAAGAGTTGAGCAGCACCATCAGCACGATAGCCGACATCTAGAAAGGCACCATGGCATCATCAGCGCGTGAGTCGTCAACATCTAGAAAGGACGGATGAGTCCAACATAACAATGGCGACGACTATTTAGCATAATTATGCTCTTGTCCTCAAAAACGGTGAAAGCATCTCCAACCAAAAAGCGAGCTAGCACTCGCATGACAAGGACATCTCTTTGCCCGCGACGACGGCAGCAGCACCACCACCAAGGCTTACTTGTTCAAGAACAACGCGCGAGCACTCCCTCCACCGCGCCAGCCCCCAGACAACACACACACACACACGCACGCACCTCCCGCAGCAGCAAAGGCAGGGACCGAATCATCGAGCAAAGAGGTCCTGGGCGCTGCTGCAGAAGCGGCGGCGGCGGCCGCATGAGAAAGTGGCGGCACCGACGTCTCTGGGGCAGGAGACGGAAACGCACCGGTCTCCCCCACGCCGTACTCCCCCTCCTCCCCCTCCGCCTCTTCTTCCGCCTGAGCGGGCGGCGCTGACAGGGGGTCTTCTCCCAACGGGGGTGACGGAGAATCTCGTGGCCCCGCTACAGGGCCCTTGGAGAGCAAAGCCCTGTTTGCAGTCGATCTTCGCGGAAGGCGACGCTTCTTCTCCGAGGATTGCAAAATCTGTGGCGGTTCGGCGGAGGGGGGGTACTCTTCTGTTGTGCATACCTCGGTTAGACTATTGACCACGCGTCCTCGAGAGGACGGAGCATTGTTCCCAGAGGACAGATCACAGATGATCACTCGTTCCTTCGGTTCGGCGGAAGGGGAGGGGTGTACTCATAGTCGTGCATGCCGTAGTCGTTAGACCATTGACCTCGCATCCCTACAAAGCCGGGACGGAGCACGCCGGGTTCTCACCGGACCAGGCTCTCACATCACCAAGCGCGAAGCGCCGTGAGATATTCGGCGAGTCGCATGAAGGGTGCGCTGCATCCTGCTAAGGGTTTTCGGCATCTTGTGCTTACTTCCTTGCGTACGGATCACAGCTGCGTATGACTTAATACATTTTCTAGTGCTTTTACTTCGAGAGACAGTTGTAAGCACCGTGTAACTGCCTCGAGGGTGCTTGGCCATTTCAACACAACGTGGTGCTATCATCCCCCTTGCGCGGAGTGAGGGTTCACCCCGCACAACATGATCTACTCAACCATCATTATGGTTACTGCCCAAAAAAAATAAACGGAGGAAAAAAAAAAGAACGGTAACCTGGTTGCCGAGTTCACGAAGTGAATTGGCTTGTTTTACAACGTCGTTGCCAAGCGACGAAAACCCAACCCCGATGGTAAACACCGGGGGGGGGAGGGAGGGGGCTTGTTGCGTTGCCAAGCGACGAAAAC